ACTTACAAGGAAAAAGGCCTATATTCAGTTCCCAGTATCTTATATGCACACACAAACAAACAAAAACCACCTCACATAAAAATGATATGATGAAATTACAACTTAAAATGTTGAAAAATTCTTTCATTTGAAAAAAGGTATGTATGTATTGTCATAGATACATTATCTACATTTCTCTCTTTGTGTGTATGTATGTATCTCCACAAGTATTCCTTAATATACTCTGTTTTATTTTAATACAGAAATGTAGACAGTATACTCCTTTTCAAGGGCCATACATATTGTGTTTGTCAGGGTTGAATGGAGCAGCAGAACTCATAGAATGAGTATCTATTTAAAGGGAAATAACTAAGTTGTCTTACACATTATGGTTCAGGTAGTCCAAAAATGATCACCTCACGCTGGAAAGGCAGAGAACATAGTAGTTGTTCATGAAGCGGCATGCCTCAGTAACACCAGTCTGGCATTGAAGACCTCGAGCATTACTGAGGAACTGCTGGTCTTCAGTCTACATAGGGAGTTCTACTATAAGTTAAGCACAGGGAAGAACAAGCTGCCAGCCAGAGTGAAGATAAGCAGAAGGCTGCCTTCCCACTTAAATAATCTTGTAAGAAAGTCCAGTGAATTGTCTTTTAGTGCTTTACAGATCCAATAAACTTGACACTCAAAATTAAGCATCACATATATGTTCTCCAGAATGGCTTGCTTCAGTGTAGTATGTGAGTGAATTATCTTCAACATTTCAATGAAATGTTGGCAAACACTGCATTAATGGCTTCCTGGACATTGTAAACCAAACGTACTGAACAGATATTTACAGAACATTTCATGCAAACACAAATGAATACATCTTCTTCTCAGCAACTCTTAGAACTCTCTCTGAAGTTGACGAGATAGTCAGATTCAAAAGAATACAGGGAAATTGAAATTAACTCTGCATCTATCTGACCAACATGAATTAAAGCTGGATATCAGAAACAACAGAAAGGTTACAAACTCATGAAAACTGAACAACTTGCTACTGAATTAAAAATTGAGAAGATAATTTTTTTAAAAAATCAAAGATTTTCTAGAAGTGAATGAAAATGAAGGCAACTTAATCAACTTTAGGAGACCCAATGAAGTCAGTTCTAACAGAAAATTTCATATCACTAGATCACACACATACACACACACACACACACACACAGAGTAACTTAACAACATACCTGAAAGCTCAAGAACAAAAAGAATAAAACTCAAAAGGATTAGATAACAAGAAATAGTCAAACCCATGTCTGAAATCAATAAAATAGAAACAAACAAACAGACAAATCAAACAATACAAAGTATCAATGAACCAGAGTTGGTTCTTTGAGAAAACCAGTAAGGTTGAGAAAACTGTATCCACATTAACTAAAATGCAGAGAAAATACCCAATCTAATAGAACTAGAGAGGAAAGGGAGACACAACAGCAGGCATCAAGGAAAACAAGAAACTCATGAACTAATACTTTAAAAGGCTGTACTCCAACAAACTTGAAAAATCTAAAAGTATGAATAATTTCCTCTGTACAGAGCACTTTCCAATGTGAAATCAAGATCAGATAAGGAATTTATATAAATCCATGAGCCTTAGTCAAATAGAAGCAGAAGAAAAAAAAAAAAGAAAAGAAGAAGAAGAAAAAAAAAAGAAACCCAGGGCCCAATGGTTTTAAAACAATTCTACCAAGTTTTCAAAGAAGAGTTAGGACAGTATTCCTCAAAATATTCCACAAAATAGAAACAGAAGGAACACTGTCCATCTCTTATCATGAAGCCAGAGTTTCCTTGATACCCACATCACATAAAGACCAAGCCAAAAAGAAAATTACAGACCAATTTTCTTTGTGAACAAATATGAAAAAATTCCCAGTAATATAACATGGAAACCAAATCCATGAACTTTTGATAATGATGATCCTGAATAAAGTGGGCTTTATCCCAGAGATGAAGGTTGGTTCAATGTATGTAAATCAATGAATGTAATCCACCTTAAAAACAAAGCACCACAACCACATGATCAATCTCACTGATGAAGAAAATTTCTTGGACAAAATTTAATATGTCATGTTAAAGGTCCCAGAGAGATACAAAGGACATACATCAACAACCCAAATGGAGAAAATTGAAAAAAATTCCACTAAAATTAGGAAGAAAACAAAGTAGTCCAGTCTTTCCATACCTATTCAGTAACGTATTTGAAGTTATAGCTAAAGAAAGAAGACAACTGAAGGAGATCAACGGGATAAATATTGAAAAGAAGAAAATCAAAGTAATCACTATTTGCAGATGATACAATAGTATACCATAAGTGACCCTAAAAATTCCACCAAGGAACTCCTATACATAGTAAACACTTTCAGCAAAGTAGCTGGATACAAAACAAACTTAGAAAAAACACTAGCCTTCCTAAATATAGATGACAAAAAGACTGAGAAAGAAATCAGGAAAAAAATCTTTTATAATTTTCTCAAAAATATAATATAGCATGAGGTAACACTAGCCAAACAAGAGACAGACTTGCATAATAAAAACTAAGACATTAAAAAATAAATTGAAAAAGATATCATAAGATGGAAACATCTGCCATACTCATGGATTCATAGGATTAATATAGTAAAATGACCATCCCACAGATTGCCTACAGATTTAAAGCAGTCTCCATCCAAATTCCAACACAATTATTCATAGATCATGAAAGAACAACTTTCAGTTTCTTATTCTCACATACATACATACAACACACACACACACACACACACACACAAAAGGATAGCTAACACAATCCTATAAAATAAAAGAACTGCTGGAGGTATCACCAGTCCTGACTTCAAATTGTACTATTATAGTAACAAAAGCAGTATGGTATTGGCACAAAAAGAGAAATGTCAATCAATGGAGTCAAAATGGGGACCTGGACATAAATCCACACACCTATGAATACTTGTTGTTTTCTTGCTTGCTTGCTTTTTCAATGAAGTATCACAGGAATGCACACTGAAGAAAAGTTAGCATCTTCCACAAATGGTGCTGGAAAAACTGAACAGCTGCACATAGGAGAATCCAAATGGATGCTTTCTTGTCACAGCAAAATTCAACTTTAAACGGATCAAAGACCTCAACATAAAACCAGATAAACTTAACCTGATAGAAGAGAAAGTGAGGAATAGCTTTGTACTCATAGGCACAGGAAGGACTTTCTGAAAAGAAACTAAGACCAACAATTAATAAACAGGACCTCATGAAATTGAAAAGCTTCTGCCATAGCAAAGGGCACCATCGTTCTGGCACAGTATCAGCCTACAGAAGGAGTTTCCCTGGGGAAGCAGTGTGTCCCTACAGGCAGTCTGCATGCCCAGCAGTAGAAGGCCAGCAGCAGAAACACCCAGAAGCAGCTTTAGAGCCGCCTCAGCTCATAACACTTCATCAGGGCTTTTCCTTTTTTAACTATATCAAATCATTTTTTTCCTTCTCTTTTACCCTATAGGTCCTTTGTGTTTATATTATGACTTCCAGTTTAGTATTTCTGTGGGATTCCTGAATGTGTAAATGAGTGAGTCTCTACATCTATACCTGTTTCTTATGTCTTTTCATGGGCATTTTCTTCTATTTTGTGTGGTTTTCTTCCTATTCTGATGTGTTAGTTTTGTTATATTACATTACATTATATTATATTTTATATTATATTATTAAATTATTAAATTTTGTGTTTGTTTTCCAGTGAGAGGCAGAAAGGGGTGGATGTGGATGTGAGGGGAGAAGAGGAGAAACTGCGAGGAACGGAGGGGAAAACTATAATCAGGATGTTATGTACACAAAACAAAACAAAACTATTTTCAAAAAGGAAAAACAGGAAAGGAATCTGACTTAAACTGATTGCTCCGCAGTGTTCATGAGTGAACACTTTTTGGAAAACTCTAAGAGATGCAATAAAGTCATCAAAGTTGTGGTTCAGAGCAGTGAATAGAAACTATCCATAACCACGAGCTTCACTGCTGCTCTGTGACCTTCCGTTCTCTGGGAGAATAGAAGTCACTCTTGGAGACCACTTAAGAGCTCTGAGCACATACATTCCATAAATGAGAAGAGTAATAAAGGTAAATCACTGCAGCCAATGAATTCATAGTTTTGAAAAGTGAAAATGTAGCAATAATAATCATTAGTAAAAGCATAACATATGGTGTAATCGTTTTAATCAACTTGACCAAATCTTGAATTAACTGGGAATAATTCTCAGCAAGGGACTGTCTGCATTGGGTTGGCCTGTGAGTGTCTCAATGATCACTTCTTGATCACCGTGATGGAAGTGGGAATTGCCACCCACTGTTGGTGGCACCACTACCTAGGCAGATGATCCTGGGCTTGTAAGATGGGAAAACCAAGCTAAGCCCTACACACACACACACACACACACACACACACACACACACACACATTAATTCACTGCTCTGCTCCTGAATGTGTATTTGATGTGTAACTGCTTTAAGTTCTTGCTCACTGATCTCTGAAATGATGGACTGTAAGCTGGATTTGTGAGCCAAGTAAACCATTTATTCTTAAAATGTTTTTCTCAGGGTACCTTTGCATAGAAGAGGAAAAAACTCTAAAGCTTGTGGTGTGCATTAAACAAATGTCAAACAATTTGATCATAAGGGAGAGCAAATTTTAGAATAAATGAATCCTGGCATTAACTCAGAAAAAGCAAAACTGATGTGACCTAGGTAGAGAAAACCATGTACAGAACTGCAGTAATCTATGGCTATAATTCTTAATTATCACCATGTAATTACAAGATAATACTGTAAAGGCTGTAACCACATAGTTACAATATCATATTGTAAAGAGGGAGAATTACTGAGATAGTAGAGAGGAAAACAACACAAGTCTCAACATGTATTTTAGGGTCCAGTGTTTATGTCTCAAAATCACTGTACCCAATTTCTTGTTGCTTTATTTAGTTCACATCAGAGCACACCAACCTTTCTGAATGTAATGTCTTCGTGTTTTTGGTTTTCCATCAGTATCTTTCATTTTCAACTCCCATGCAAACCAGGGAATATTTCTGTACTCAGTAGAATGTTTAAAGTCATCAGGAGTAGATATCATCTGTTAAAACAAATAAAAACATGGATGGATCTTGTTTCTTGTTGTGATAAAATATCTTGGCAAATAAAACATAAGAAATGGCTTGCAGTGGTGATGTACACCCTTAATCCGAGCACTCTGGAGGCAGAAGCAGGAAGAGAGTTCTGTGAGTTCAATGCCAGCGCGGTATACAGGGTGAATTCCAGGACAGCCAAATCTTTACACAGAAAAATGCTGTCTCGAAAAACCAAACCAAACAAGAAAAAGAGAGAGAAAGAAGGAAGGAAGGAAGGAAGGAAGGAAGGAAGGAAGGAAGGAAGGAAGGAAGGAAGGAAGGAAGGAAGGGAAAGAAAAAAGAAAACAGAAAAACGGGTTTGCCTTGCAACTCGAGGTTACAGTCCACCATTTGAGGGAAGTCAGGGCAGCAGCAACTTGTAGCACATAATATAACTTACATTATTTCCAGAGTCAAGGACAAACAGCATGGAATTAATTACAAATGCTATGCTGGTCTAACTTTCTCCACTAGTGTTATAGCTCAGAATCCTCTTCCTAAAGAATAGCACAACCTACAGTGAGTGTATCTTCCTACTCCAACTAACCAATAATCACCAACAAACACACCCACAGGCCAAACCAATCTAGAAAATCTCCACGAAAATTTCCTTTCCAGGTGATTCTAGATTGTGTAAATTTGATAATAAAAACTAACCACAACCAGTGATACTAAATGTTTCAGGGTTTCAAAGAGCTTTCTTGTGTGTGTTGCAATATTGTGATTTGATTCTTAAAAACTTGTGACCTTAAAGCTCCATTGTTTATTCCATTGTTAAACAACCTTATAGGAACAGGTAGTGGTACCAGGGGTTAATTCTCTAAAGGCAGTGGAAAGAAGAGTTCCTATCCTTTAATAATAGACACAAGATATTTTGTCAGAAAGCCTGAGGAAGGTTCAATGTAAAAAAAGGGAAGGACAAAAAGTTACCTTACAGAACACTTAGTGTGCCACAGAGAGGAAAGGCGACAGTAATATAAGAAAGGACCTTGGAGTGAGGCCATGATAAATACGTGCCTTTTTAGTACAATTGGACCAGGTATCTGTGGGAAAACAAGAGAGTAATGATCAGAAAGGGGCTTCCTGGGAACCAGGAGTGATGGCAAGTGAGGACTGTGTCATGAACACATTGGTGAGGTGTTGACAACACCGTGATAGCTTCTTTTCTTCACTGACCATGCAGGTCAGGTAGAGGTTCTGCAGGTCATCTAGGACCAAGAGTCAAGAAAAAGGCCCTCATCATCGCTCTCATTGTATCTGCATGCCTTTCACCCTGAAACATGGTATCCACACGTTTCTCAGAAAGGTGGGAATGGGGAAGTGAAGAAAGGGAACAGGCAGTGTTTCTAAATGAATGTCCCCATAGGTTCTTTTACACACTTTCAGTTAGATCTCATTGACTTCCCACCTATTCAAAGGTGCACATGAGGAATGTAGCCAGAGGGAAGAGTGAGGAAGAGGCTGGAATAAAACTGCCATCCTGGAAAGACAAAAACAAACAAAACAGCCACCAACAACAATAAAAACACATATTGCTGGATCATTAATAATGTGTGCCAAAGTGAAGCAATACTGTGCTTTGCAAAAACTGTTACATTTAGTGTGTGTGTGTGTGTGTGTGTGTGTGTGTGTGTGTGTGTGTGTGTGTACGAACATGTGTGGTGTGCCGCAGCTCACATGTGAAATCATAGTACTTTGGAGGGACATGATTATTTTCAGGAATCAGATTCAAGGTGTCAGACTCACTGGCGTGCACCTTCTTTACCTACTGAGCCATCTCACCTGCCTCAATATACATCCTATTAACGATTTTGAGAATACTATGCTTTATCTAATTAACAGTAAATTTGGAAGGTCTGTATATTCATCTTCAGGTACACATGAGTCATTTACTTTTGTTTCATTATTATTATTAACTAATTCAATTTACATCTCAGCCATAGGCCCTCTCTCCTTTCCTCCCAATCCCTCCTTCCCACATCCCCCTCTCAGAATAGGGGAGCCCCTGTGCACACAATCCAGCTCATCGATTCACATGAGGACTGAGTTCATCTTCCTCCCATGTGGCCTGGTAGGAAAGTCTCATCAGAGGGAAGTGATCAAAAAGCAGGCAACATAGCCTATGTCAGAGACACCTCCCACTCCCCTAAACTAGTGGCCCCACATGAAGCCTAAGATGCTAATCTGCTGCTTATATGTTGAGGACCTAGGTCCAGTCCTTCTAACAAGGAGGACCCAAGGAAGGACATTTTAAATAGGTTCCTGAAAACTTGCATATTACTTATAATCTGCCATTGTTTTATGCACTTTACAGATCTTTGTCACCATTTAATATCAAGAGCAAAGATCAGCTATGCTCTTTTACTGTGGAAAGCTCATAAATATCTTTATTATTTCTATTTTAACTTTTTATTATTATCATATATTACAATTTATTCAATTTGTATCCTGTCTGTAGCCCCCTCCCTTGTCTCCTCCCCATCCCTCTTCTCCTCTATGTTGGTCCCCCAGTCAGTGATAGGGGAGGTCCTCCTTCCCTTCCATCTGACCCTAGCCTTTCAGGTCGTATCAGGATTGGCTGCAATGTCCTCCTCTGTGGCCTGGTTAAGGCTGCACATCCCCCCAGGGAGAGGTGATCAGAGAGCCTGTCACTGAGTTCATGCCAGAGATAGCCCCTGCTCCCCTTACTAGAGACCCCAAGGAATTTATGGGCTATATCTGAGCCAGGGTTTTAGGTCCTCTCCATGCATTGTCCTTGGTTGGGGTATCATTCTCTTCATGGCCCCCACCAATGTTTTTCGATCAGTAAGACAGAGATTACCACATGGAAATTTTAAAAGATTTAGTTTCAACATTTCCTTACCCTCACTATCTAGCTAAGGGTGGCCTTGAAATTCTGATCCCTCCACTTGCACTTCAGAGTGCTGAGGTGACAGGCATGAACCACCATGCCTTACTGAGAGACCAGAATTAAATTACACATTGGACAGAAAACTAAATACAGTGTGTGTGGGTGGGGGGAGGTCATCAAGTAGAGCAGAAAAATAACAGGTTTTTATCCCAAACTCTATCAGAAAATTATTTTCACATGAAGGTAGCACTCTGAAGTGGAAGTGGGGGTGTCAGAATTTCAGGGCCACCCTTAGCTTTGTAATGAGTCAAGGAAAGGTTAAACCTCTCAATCTTTTTTAAATTTCCATATGATAATCTCTGATTTACTGACTGAAAGCCATTTGTCTCCAGCAGTAGGAGACAGTGCAGTTATGGCTTGCTGTTAGTGGCAGGTGCTTTGAAAATTTTCCACAAAGAACAAACTGTGTTTATTCCTTCAGTGACAAGTCTTTCAATTATCAATTCTGAGACAATTTATTTTCATGATCCGCATAACAAAAATCACTATTTTTTCTAGAAATACAAAAACCGGGGCATTTTCAGCTCATAGACTTTCTCCTAAAATTGACAAGCACACACTTTATGATTCATAACATCAAAGCATAGTAGGAAAACATGGTTTTAAATAAAGATGTTTCTATTCTCACTTAAATCCAAACCAACTATGACAAAAAAAAAGTTTGTGTAGATCACTACTTTTTAATTAAATCCATGATGGTCAATTATAAAAACAAATGCTAAATTCATGATAGATTGTATTTATAGCCTCCGAGGGCCTGTGGCCTCCCATGAGGCAGCGGCTTGAATTTAACATTCAAGAAACCATCATTAAACACAGTGAGAATTTGTTTCAGTGGGAGACAGGAGACAAGAGGTCTGAGGAAGGGCAATAGGGAGTGAAAAGTGTCCGAATTCAATACAGACACATGTAATAGTACCAAGGAATAACAGAAAGAGACGAAGGAAATTAAGTTAAGAAATGTTAAATTCCATTTGAAACATAAAATGGTACACTTTTTCTTCTAGAGAATCATATTTTATCCTATTCATTAGAAAAATGAGTTTTCCCAGCAATCTTACTTTTACTATAGTTATTCCATTCCATTACCCAAAAGAATAAAAAAACAAAAACATGCCTGTCAGATATTAGAAATATAGTCTCTACCATGAATGATATTAGGTTAGCACACACACATACAAATATGTATAAATATATATGTATACATACACACATATGTATACACATATGTATACATATGTGTGTATGTATACATACATACATATTTACAAAAAGTATGCCTGTCAGATATTAGAAATATAGTCTCTACCATAAATGATATTAGGTTATCACACACATGTGTGTATACATACATATATATGTATGTATACATATATATATGTATACATATATATGTATATATATATGGTCAGATAAAGGAGGTCTAGTTCAGTAGAGCATTCCTAATGTATATAATACATAATATACATATAATAAATACATACTTAATTCTCCAATTTTTCCTCCCTCACATGTTGTTTCTCATCATTTAAAATCATTTTTGCTTTCCTGGCTTTTCTAAGACAGAAATGCCCCTGTGTTATACTGAGATGATTCTATAGAAAGGTCATCAAACAGTCCAGGATTTAATAACTAAACCAGGCCTTTCAAAAGTTACTGAGGCTAAGGAAGGTGGCTTTTCTGCTGTATGTAAGGAGAGAGAGCGAATGGATGGGAGCCAGCCATACACTGATTGGTCCTTGAGCTCTCGAAGAAAACTTATCAAAAACCTGGCCATATATAATACATACCTTAATTTCACCATCACAAAATCTAGTCTATAATATCCAGACTACCGTGTACCAGACACTTGTACACGATGACCTTAGAAAATAGTTATGACTATTTGTCCAAGGGATTTTATGGACTGGTAATAAATTAAATAAATCAGATAGAAATGCATTTTAACAAAGTCAGAGATAACTCAGTGTTAGGTGTGAAGGCTGTAGTAAACTTTCATTCAGTAATGTTTGACAACATTTCTGGTTACTTTTAAAATGAAAATATATTATGTAG